CTGGACTCTTTTGAGCAGTTCCCTGTCCTTTTTGAACTGAGGGGCCCAGAACTGGACACAATACTCCAGATGTGGCCTCACCCATGCAGAATAGAGGGGGAGGAGAACCTCTCTTGACCTACTAACCACACCCTTTCTAATGCACCCCAGGATGCCATTGGCCTTCTTGGCCACAAGGGCACATTGCTGGCTCATGGTCATCCTCCTGTCTACCAGGACCCCCAGGTCTCTTTCACCTACACTGCTCTCCAGCAGTTCAGCCCCCAACCTGTACTGGGACATGGGGTTGTTCTTCCCCAAATGCAAAACTCTACACTTCCCCTTGTTGAATTTCATCAGGTTTCTCCCCACCCAACTCTCCAGCCTGTCCAAGTCCCTCTGAATGGCAGCACAGCCTTCTAGTGTGTCAGCCACTCCTCCCAGCTTAGTGTCATCAGCAAGCTTGCTGAGGGTACATTCTATACCCTCATCCAGGTTGTTGATGAAGATGTTGAACAACACCGGTCCCAGTACTGACCCCTGAGGGTTTTGAAAGAAGATTTCCACCTGCACAGCTCTTCTGGTGCACAGCTCTTCTGAAGGTTACAAATCACTGTAAGTCAGGCTGTGGAGATATCCCTGATCATCCACATTCTCTCACTCACTCTGATGGGACAGACAGGCAAGCAAAGGAAAGAGAAGTATTTTTGCTCCTCACACAGGGAATTTAACACCAAATATGATTCAGTTGTGAGAGGAATGGTTCCCTGCCAGGATGAATTCCTTCAGGCTGTAAGTACTGGCTGTGCCATTTCACACGAAACAACAATTCCTGGGAACGTGTAATTTCCCTTTCTATATGCAAAACCTTGTGTCTCTGCTGAAGAGAAACTTTAAGTAGCAGCCCTGCCATTATTTGCAAGATAAAAACCCATTAACTGCGCGTTATCCTCTCCTGCAATTTCCTTTTCTTGGGGTCAGCTGGGTTTTGGGAGAACTCCTTGACCTGCCTGGAGGCAGGGCATGCTTTTCCAGTGCGATGCTCTCGAGCAGAGCATCTCTGCACCGATGCTGCTAACCAAGACTGCCCTCTGCCTCCCCGGGCCCTGCAGCACATCGCCGTTGTGCCCCATGCCTGCATCTCTGCTGAGCACAGATTCTGGGGCAGAAGGGGTGCCCCCCTGCCAGGGGTATGGAGGAGGCTTCCCTAGGCCCATGGCAGGCCAGCAAATGTGCGGTCCGTGGGGACGGACTTGTGCTCCTCTGCCTCCCACTGGAGTTGTGCCTGTGGCAGCCTGGAGGATCAAACCCTATGCCTGCTTCAAAGCAGGTCCCTTCCCTTATCTGGGATGTCCCGACTTTGAGGATGCCCTGACTAGCTGAGGCTAAACCTTGCAGTTTGGGTGAAAAGGAAGAGGGCTGAATGGGAACAGGCCATGAGCTAGCCACTCGACTTGTCTCATTATGTATTCACCTCTTACATCACTGTTCCAATTAATAAGCCTTTATAAAAATCTCTTATTACAAAAAGAAGAAAATTGGGCCTTTAACACAAGCCCACTGTTTTCACAAAACTGTTAAGTCTAACGAGAAATTAAATTATTTTTGTTATCAGAGTGATGCATAATACATTAATTTACAATACTCTGCAAAAAGAAAACTTTCCAGAATTGATTGTGACGTGTATAAAAAAGAAAAGACCACAAGATTGTAATTTAAAAGGATGGGCAGCTAATTAAAAACCCAGTGCAGCAGTTCCATCTGCAGACTGAAAGTATTCCAGAGGCTGTATTGTCTTACTTCCATCACGTCTGTTAAGCCATCCTTACATTGCTCAGAAACATAACACTTGTCTTTTGAGTCTGTTTAACACAGCATTTCTTGGGAGACGGGAAATCCGAGCTGATTTTTTAATTTCTTGATTTGGGCTTACATATTCTAATGTATAAAATGAACCACTTGGATCCCAATGACTTTCTGGGAATGTGCTTGCACTTGTGGTGGGGTATAAGATGGGCAGAGTTGGTGCTGAGGACCCAGCAGCAGCTCACGTGTTGGGGGCCTGTCCTGGAGCAGCCCATTGGCAGCTGGATTGCATTGTGTGTGCTCCCAGAGCACACCTTCCAGTAAGACCACATGGATGGGACCTAATCCATGCTCCTCAGGACCACTGCAAGTTCAGCCAATGCACAAGAGTTGGGTATAATCAGGAGATTCACACCATAAGGTGCTCCTGATCTGAATTAAAATGCTAATATAGAAACAACCACAGCCTTTATTTTGCTTGCCTGTCTGTCCCATCAGAGTGAGTGAGTGAATGTGGATGATCAGGGATATCTCCACAGCCTGACTTACAGTGATTTGTAACCTTCAGAAGAGCTGTGCACCAGAAGAGCTGTGCAGGTGGAAATCTTCTTTCAAAACAGGAAACCAGTTTATATATCCTGGCCTAAAAGCCACAGGTGCCTGCATTTGCTTGACTGGGGAGGATGATTCCTCAGCATGCAATGCTACAGCAAACAGTACCCATATCTCCATGTTCTGTGCATCTCCTTCACCTGCCTTAGAGAAGCAGTGATAACTCAGAGCCATCTGTAACACTGTCATTTGTCACTGCAGCCAGCCAGAGACTGCTGCTAATGCCACACTGCAGCATCCTCAAACTGGCAGGAGTACACCTCAATTGGCACTCACTGTCTAAGTAGCACTATACACTAGAGATGTGTTGGTGGAAGCCAAGAAAATGGGAGATTATAACACATGATGACATTTGCTAGCAAGGCGAGCTTTTTGCTGAAGTTAAACTTACAATGCCAGCTTGAGAATACAACTGATACTTTTGCAGAGTGGCAAACTAGACGCACAAATACCACTCAATGAAATCTGTGGATGTTAGAGGCTTATGGCCTCTGTGGCTTTGAGCTTTAGTTTTCCACACCTACCTCTTGGAGAGTGTTAGGAGATTTGGTGCTCAATTTCTGACAATTATGCTCAGTTCTCAATTACTGACACCCCAAATTTCAGAAATTTTATTTACATATTTTCACAAGTCAAGTCTACCAGTGTCCCAAGCTATGGAACTGGAGCCTCAAAAGTTATTTGACTTGCTGACTAACCTCTCATACAAGCATGTAGGCAACCGTCTGCTATTCAGCCACACACTCCTATTAACGAATGTTTTCCAGGGACAAGGCATAAATCTGTATTTATGCCACGTCCAGTTTGTGCTTGAGCCTGTGTCACGCAATAGGATATTAGGCTTAATCTCTGTGAAAAGCAGGTGAGGAACACCTGGTACTCACAGCACAGTGCCGGTGCTTTTCCGCTTGATCGTGAAGTGCGAGGAGTCCTCCGAGAACTCCACGTCGTAGTTGGCCTCCTCAGCAGTAACCCCAGGGGAGTCGATCTTGAGTGGGACTTCAAACCGCTTGCTGTTGGGGTCGTAGAGCTAAAGCAAGGCGAGGAGGAGGCAGCTTAGCTCCTTCGTCAGTGGGCACTGCTTTGGTTAAATGATTGTGTCCCCCTCCCAGGTACTCACCCTGAACCGGAGTCTGTCCTTTGTCTGGAATTCCACTTCCAACATGACTGGGGAAATGTCATTTCCAAAGAGGGACAGAGTGTCGCGCTTGTTCAGTTCCACCCTGCGGGGGAAAAACCTGCTGGTGCCCCCCACAGCTGCTTGCTGCCCACCACCCCTGGTGCAGGGCAGGGGGAGCAACTCAGCTATTCTACATCAGCTCTTTAAAAATAAACCATTGATTTATTGAGAGAAACAATCTGAGGTTAGCTTTGGCTCTTCTTGCTGTTAGTGGATAAAGCAGGTGCTACTGGAGGAAGGACACATCATGGACTCCTGGGACACAGCTCCCAGGAGGGTGAGGACCACCCCGTGCCAGTACCTGATTTTCTGAGTGCAGGACCCCAACTCTGCTTGGCTTTTAGGCAAGGAAACACTTCCGTTACCCTCCTGGTGGCAAGCTGGGGAGGTGGCAGTGAAGCAGCTTGGGAAAGGCCTGTGACCCCTGGGGCAGCTGCAGGAGTCCCTGGTGACCGAGGGGACCGCACACACCTACCTCCAGCCCATGGCTGTCTTCTCTGCGTTCTTGCCCAGGGAGTAGCCGTAGGGACTGTCCTCAGTGAAGAAGCACCAGGGAGCGTTGGGCACATCCGTGGGGCACCAGCGGCAGGCCCCAGCCCCGCAGCTCTCC